CCACTGTCATTACCGTTATAACCACCTTTACCGTCTCACCACCTCTACCACAACAACCATCACCACCGCCCCACCACAACTATTGTCGCCATCTTACAATCATCACCACCCTTACCACTCTACCACCACCACTACCACCATTCGCTTCTACTACAAACGATACTTAAATTCTTTTTCTCACATTTATCTTTATAATTTGATTTTGAGTATAAATATAAATATATTTATTATTGATCATTTTTTTTATTATTTCATGCTTTCAGGTACGATAAATAACTAATTATTCTACGTGCACTACTAGCTTATGTCACATCTCAACTTTTGTGCCTCATAAAATATATTTCTTTCCCCTTATAGTATTGAAGTTGAGCATCTTACCTAACAAAAATGACTTAATTGATTACGCAGCCTAGTTTATTGAGATGTGAACGAAAATAGTTCAATAATAATGTCGTCTCTTATTACAAATTAAACTAAAGTTCAAACAGAAATGATTCTCTCTCCTATCCTACTATATGGACCATCTTGTGAAGGTGGTATCTTCATCCCTTTCCAAATAAAAGGTCGTGGGTTATGTATAAGACCACGAGTGACAAACTTATGCATCTATTGGAAGAAAAAAAAAAAAAAAAAAACTCGTTTGTAGTTGGTAAGTGCTGTTGACCAAAAAATACAAAACAAATCATTTATTTTTATCTTATTTATATTTTTTTGTGCACCGTTAAACAATCTTTTTTTCTTTTAAGGGTGCAACAAGAGGATTTGTTACAAGTCCACATCATAGTACTCCTCTTGTCCAGGGGTGGCAACATGTTGTGTAGATTGTGTTTGTATCGTATTATTTAGAGATTCATATCGAAAATTAATCGTCCAGAATTTAATCCATTTATTTAATTGTGTCATATGGACTCGATTATTTATTTTCGTGTCATGTTCGTCTTGACCCTAAATATCGTTAATCAAAAAATTAATGCTAATATATAAGTCTAATATTATATTATCTCCAAATCAAACTCACATTAATATTTTTTTTTAGAAACTAAAAGATTTAATAATAAAAATAAAATTAAAAACCCTTTTTTTGTACAAGAATTATGTCGATGCTTGAGAATAAATAACAACAATATGGTATTTTATTTATATAATATTAGTTAAGCGTGTTAATTGTATCAATTTTGTATTATTCGTGTTTGACATTAATCCGATCCGTTTATTAATTGTGTTATCAGGTCGTTTTATTTATGGTTCTTATCAAGAAATAATCAACTCTAACCCATTAATTTTTTATCGATTTTTTTATCGTATTTACGAATCATGTCAAAATTTGTGACCGTTGCTCTTGTCCAAGCACACTTAGTTACTTAATTCGGATGAAATCTAGTGCATTAGAGCTCATATGGTCGTTAAAAGAAGTGACGTGAGCTATTTTGCAAAACTTATTTGTTTGGTAAGAAAATAGTTTTTTTTTTTGGTTGGGGGGGGGGGGGGGGGGTGGGGGGGTTTAACAAAATTACTCGATTGAAACTCTTTTTAGCATCCCATGTGCATTTTGTTCTTTCGGCTTGTCAAGCCAAAAAAAATTCTAAGAGGCTTGAATTGTGTACTTATGATCAATAGAGAATTATCTTGCGGAGGTGGGTCCTCAATCATGTAAAATGGTGGGTCCTCAATCTAACCCATTTGTCTGTTTTTTTGAGCCCACCAAAAGAAGAAGGAAAAGAGTACTTTGAAGCAATTATTGCTGCAATCTAAGACAGCCAACTTGTTGGATAGACTAGTTTTTGAAAATAGCACTTACCTTATCTAAAAAGATGCTAAATACCATGTCTTTATAATGCAATTGAGAGTGCATGAGACATAGAAGAAGGGAGCAAAAAAAAAAAATATATATATATATATACGAATATTATTTTAAGTGCGGACGAGAATCAGATTCGGGTGGAGTCCGGGAAGTACAACATCACTAACCATCTAGACTACTTATCGCTTTTCAGAATATAATTAACTATACTTACATGTTAACTCATGAATCTACTCCACCCAAATGTCTAGGTTAATATTCTATCAGTTAATCCTCATCCGTCATATTATAAACATCAAAAAAAAAAGAAAAAGATTTATAAAAAATTATTCGCTAGGGCAAAGAAATCTTTAAGTGGAACAAAAAATTGCAGGGAAAAAAAACAGAGAAGAGGTTGACTATAGTCTATTCCACACGTGTGAGTTGTTAATATGATCAATGAAACCTGAACATAGATGGATGTTGCCCACAATAACCTAGAAAACTTTTCTTAAATCAAGTAGAATCACCATGATTCTTCATATGGGTTACTGGATAATAATTTTACTAAATTACTAAGTGACCTTTTTGCTAACACTTCTTAAGGTTGTTGGCAGTACAATGAATGTCATCTTTATCATATTCTTGGTTACAAATAAATTGAAGGCAAAATTTCAGTCACACTCTTCCTAATTTACTATATCTTAAATGACACTCTCTCTATTATAAAAAAAACATCACTAACACACCTCTTACTATTAAACTATCATTTCTAAAAAAAAAAAATTCATCTGAAATATCAAAAATACCCCTACATAAACTTCAAGTAATTTTTCTACATAAGATTTTATTAAAATTCGAACCGATTAAAATTTATTTTTTACATATTAAAATTTGAACCAATTAAGATTAAATTGAAGCTGATTAAATTTTATTTTTTTAACATATTAAAATTTATTTTTTGTCTATTATTTGAAATCTACCTGAGTTGTTAGCGCCGATTAAAATTCGTTTTCGAGTTAATTAAAATTTATATTTTTTTTACTTATTAAAATTTGTGTCAATTAAAATTTATATTTTTTATGTATTAAAATTTGTGTTGATTAAAATTCAATGCGAGTTGATTCAAATTTAATTTAAGTCGATTAAAAATAATTTTTAATTGGCTCAAATAGAATTTTAATTAGCTCAAATTTTAATACATAAAAAATATAATTTTTAATCAGCTCAAATTTTAATATGTAAAAAAATTAATTAGTTTGAATCGAATTTTAATCGGTCCGAATTTTAATACGTAAAAAAATTAGAAAATTGATGGGGTCTCATTGAAGATATGTTTATTTAGAGGAGGTATGAATGAAGTTTGTCCTCAAATATATTATGAGCAATTTAGTAAAATAATATTCTAGTTAATATTTTTACTCTAACAAGGGGTGTCAGTAAAAATTCAAAAAATAGAGAAGGTATCCTTAAAAATATAGTAAACTAGAGGGAGCGTGGTTGGAATTTTTCCTAAATTAAATGGTTCCACCTGCAAGATTATTAATTTTATACCTAAATTTGGTGGTAATGACATAAGATTATGAAGAAACTTGGACCATTCTGATCTTTTGTCCAAATACCCAAACCCAGTACACATGCAAGTTAAATCAAAGTTGATATGGGCTGTCTTTAATTAAAGGAGAATCCGCAATTCAATTTTTTTCTATCGCTAATCTAAAGATTGCAGTTGATTGAGTGCAAATTTTGGCATATTTTTTACGCGCATAGCATTACTCTTAGGTAAAAAGGTGGTCAGGAGCGATCAAACATAGCAATTCCTCTAGAATGTTATTTTAAAATTCTCACCCACTATAGAATGTTCAAATTGAGTCATAGCTATTAACATGAGCTGGTCAAGTCCGTCACCACAGCACTATCGAGGGCAAACTGAATATTCAGCCCCTCTAGCAGTATGTGATTAAAAGAGATTACCACTGTAAGCGGGTTTGAATCTAAAACCATTAAAAGAGGGCAAAACTTTCACCCTCTACTGAAAACATCTGGACTACCACCTCATGGTTCTACGATCCAAAATTGATATAGGATTATTAATCCATTTTTTAAAATTGGTTGTGAAGCATCCATAATGATTTCAATTACAGCAGCAAGAAGAAGAACAAGAAATGAATTTGGATGGATTTTATCCACTTTGTCCCTGCCTCTCTTTCTCTCTCCCCACCCCTCTAAGAGGGTAGTTTAGGTATAATCACACCGTATTGTAATTTTTTTAACACAACTTCTTAATTATTCAGATAAATCCACTTTGTTCATTATAATTTAGACATAGAGAGTGCATAAGCAATTTATTGCAAGAAGACAATAATCATTTTCATCTTTCAAAAAATTTATGATTTTTTCTTTCCAAAAATATTATACAAATAGAGAAACTCACTAATGCATAGAAATTGAAGAGAAAAAAGGAGTGATTAATTTTAAGAAGAAGAAATTAAAAATACTAGAGAAAAAAACACTAAAATTTTATTATAAATAAAGGTATAAGCGTTATGTTACATAATTTAACTAAAAATAACAACTTTCGATCGTTATATGCCTTATATAACTATCCTTTTATCCCATTAATTAATTGAAATACATTTAAATTTTTTAAAAATATTTATTTATATCACCCCTATAATTTACTATAATTCTTATATAATATACCAAATAACAAACCAAAAAATGTTAAAAAAAAAAATGGAGAGGATTGTAAATTTAATGCATCGCAAAGGACCACGGCGAAAAAGTTTTTAAAGTAGAAGGAGATAATATGTTCCTGAGTTTGCCCATTAGCAAAATGTGGTCCAAAATAGGAAGAAGCCCAATCATATGTTAAAGGCTCTTAATTTGGGTTGAAAGGACCATTCTTCAGGCATTGATAGTTTATCCATTTGGGCCTGTCCAAGTAGGCCAATTGCATTGGAGGGCAAACTAAGGAGGGTTCGGACCAACCACCACCATGAGTCAAAGTCTCAAAGGCCCACTCAAAACCCCCATCAGAACTGTACAGACCAAACTCTCATCTCCACCGTCGGATCATTCCCCCTCCGCAGTCTCTGAGACATAAAGCCTCCGCAAAATGAAAAACCCTAGCAAAATTAGGGTTTCCAGATCGAGAGAGAGAGCCAACTCAGAAGCCGTTCCCAGATCTAAGCTCTCTTGCTCTCCTTGATCTCCGACAATGGCTTCTCAAATGAGCAAAAAGCGAAAGGTCAGTCAAATCTATACATACAAAATATTTACACTTCGATGTATACAAAAATTATGTAATTATGCTTTTTTGTTGTGGTGGTGGTTACAGTTTGTGGCAGATGGAGTGTTCTTCGCGGAGCTGAACGAAGTGTTGACTCGTGAGCTAGCTGAGGATGGATACTCTGGGGTCGAGGTCAGGGTAACTCCAATGAGGACCGAGATCATCATTCGAGCCACCCGAACTCAAAATGTTCTCGGTGAGTTTTCTTTAATTTTTCTTTGTGATTAAGTTTATATTTTCCTTGATTCCTTAGTCTTAGGTTTTTTATTTTTTGGTCTTTATTATTAATTTTGTGCTTTTTATTGTTCTTCAACTTTGTTGGGATTAGGTGAGAAAGGAAGGAGGATAAGAGAGCTGACATCGGTGGTGCAGAAACGGTTCAAGTTTCCGGAAAATAGTGTGGAGTTGTACGCCGAGAAGGTGAACAATAGGGGGCTTTGTGCTATTGCTCAGGCGGAGTCGCTTCGTTACAAGCTCCTCGGTGGTCTTGCTGTCCGGAGGTAATTATTGATTGATTTAATCTTTCCTTGTATATTATGTATGCGATTTTTATAATGGCAAGTTTGTTTTGTAATGGGTTATAATGCAAATTTCCAATCAATACATTGTTTATATTGTTGTGATCTAGTATTGTCTGTGTACATGTATTTTTTTCTAATTTATGTTATTTGATTGCTTTGACACAGAGTATTCTTGGAAAACAACTATATATTGTGTTATTGTGACTATAATCCGTTCCCGTTTGTATAAATAACTTATTTGTAAATTACCCTTGCTTCATGGGATACTGATTGTTCTAGATGAAATTTTATTTTCTGTAAGAAGGAATGCTATTTTCATGTCAATATGTCATCAACAAAGCAAATCGGTGTTTCTGTACCAATTTTGTGTCGGATGATGACAACATTGATTATCATCCTCTCCACGTCATCATCCTTGTGAAATGCACAGGTTTTCATGCGGTAGCATTAGAGGGGGAACATGATCAGATACTTTTAAGTATTTTTTTTTGAATGACTATTGGGTTTACATTTAATTAGTGGTGATATATATTAGACTATATAACTGTTTTCCCATAGTTTTTATGGTCTTCTAACTCTACTTGAGGCCTAAACTTCTGTTTATTTTGTTGTCTTTACTTCATCTTTGAAACACCATTTGCTCTGTCGTCATCTATAAAGCAAATAGGTTATTTCTGTGCCAAGTTTGTGTCGGAAGATGACTACAACAACCATACTTCTCCGGTTCATTTCCTAATGAGTTGTAAACTATTTACATTCGGAAGCTTGGAGTTGCAACATACTTGAAATTGTTCTTCCAAATAAATGCCAAGTTGATTTTTTTTCCTTTTAAAGATTTCTAGTGATCGTGGATCTTTTTAGTCTTAGAGTCCTACTAAAACAACTAATATAGTCTCTCTCTCTCTCTCTCACACGCACACACACACACACACAAAAGAACCCCACTCTCTTTAGGTGTGTGTGTTGCTGGCTTTTCTGAAATTATAGTTTGAGCTTGCATCTCTATGGCTTTTCTGTCTTTCTCCACATTTGCAGAGTAAAGAACATAGATGATATATCAATATGATGTGTTCAGTATAGGGTAGCACGCCAGGGTCTTTGCAAAGATTTGTCAACTTTTAAGTATCGTGGACATATGAAGTTAACCACCAATTTTATTTGGGTTCCATTTTTTTTTTTATTTTAGAGTGACCCCTAAATTCTTAAATTGAGCATTTGATGGGCTATATTATTCTGGTTGACGGCAGTTTGTGCTCTGGCCATTTTGACATCATTGTGGCAGTTTGTTGCTCTCTGTGTGTCTTATTATGCTTCCTTTTGCACTTTCTATTTAGACTTCCATGGAAAAATGATAAGCAGTTGTATGTTTCTTTTTATTGGGTTAATATATTTTTCGATGTTATCTTGGTGATGCCAGAAGATATAAACTACTGTCAAATTTCAGCACTATATAAGGACAGGAATGTTTTTTTTTATTCTTTCATGCTTTGATTCTGGTTCTGGTCAGGAGTTAAATCTTTTGGTTCTTTTAAAATTAATGCGCGAAAGCTTATGCCTCTGATGGTTCTTATCCTTTTAGGGCCTGCTATGGGGTGCTGAGATTTGTCATGGAGAGTGGGGCAAAGGGATGCGAGGTAAACAGCCTCGTGAAATAATTTGTCCAATTGCTTTTACTCCATTATGGTCTTAATGCCAATTTAGTTGGTGCTCATAACAGGTCATTGTTAGTGGGAAGCTGAGGGCACAGCGTGCTAAATCCATGAAGTTCAAGGATGGTTACATGATATCCTCTGGTCAGCCGGTCAACGATTATATTGACTCTGCTGTTAGACATGTTCTTCTGAGACAGGTTTGTCCACTCTGCTTTTTGTTTTTTTTTCCAAGAATAATCCCACCAAATTTTGTTGTTTACGCACTTGAAGATGGCAAAGTCTTCTATAGTAGCTCTTTTGTGATTTTCAATCTTTTTTCTTTTTCATTTTCTCATAGCTGATTCTCTCTGTCTTCTGATCTTTTGGCATGTCATCACAGGGAGTCATCGGTGTTAAGGTTAAGATCATGCTCGGTTGGGATCCCAAGGGAAAGCAGGGCCCCACAACTCCGCTCCCTGATATTGTCACAATTCATCAACCCAAGGAGGAAGAAGAATACATCAGGCAATCAATGGTGCCGGTGCCGACTGATATTGATGTCCCAGCCCCAGTTCCAGTTATGTAGAGCATTCATGTGTGCTGGTCCTCCAAATCATTTCCCAGTGTTATATTTTTTACAAATATTTGGCTGCTTTGTAGTTTTCTTTTTGACAGTGTTGGGAATTATGGAAGACCTGTGCTGAGATTTTTCATCTTTTTAGTTGCCAAGTTATGTTCTACTTCCAGTTGTGAGCTGAGATTTTGTTTGCGTTATTTATGTTTTCAGTTATTTGTTTTTTGGTCTGTATTCTCTCTCTCTGTGGAGTAGACGTTAAATAGAGTCGGGTAGGATAGAATAAAATTGAAATTTGTGAGTAATTAAAAAATTGAACAGCCCAGGAAACACAATTTAATGCACATTCTTTGCAATTCTAAGAAGAAAAGTAGAGAAGTTCCACTGGTTGACTATCATCAATCGGTGAACCCCTCTGATGCAATCCTGAAATGAGATATGTATGTTCTGAAAAATGGAATTCCAAATCGTAAGGCTCACAAATTACGGCTGGAATTGCAGCTAATGGATCACAGATTACACACACAATGGTCTAGGCCATGCTACAAGCCTACAAAACATTATGTAGATACAGGAGAGAGAGAGAATCCTCAGAAGCATAGGCAGAACTGTTTCTCAGGTCCGCTTGACAGGGTCAAAGTTGGCAACACCAACCACTGCTCCAGCAATTACACCAAGCACCACTCCACCAGCTGCAATGCTTAGCAAGAAGTTCTTGAGGGATGGTGAAAGGTCTCCCCCAGCAGCCTCCGCCACCTCTGGAACCACCATCGAAGCTGTCAGTGCTGCCGCTGTTAACCCTGTCACCGCCTTCTCCTTCAACGAAGCCTTGGCTTCGAATTTTCCAATGGGTTTCGGTGCAGCAATTGCCTTCCAAGGCTTTACTGGTGAGGGCTTGAAGAAGGCGTCGGAGCTCGGCCATGGCAGCCTCTTTTGGGCCGTGTAAGTTAACGGTATAAACATGGAGACGGCAGAAGTAGAGGCCATTGTCGTTCTACCGAGTAGAGTTTCTTTTGTTGAAGTTTCAGTGTTGAATGAGAGAGAAAGAAAGGGAGAGAGAAGGACGAGAGAGAGAGAGCGGGGGATGAGATTGAGAGGTGGAAAATAGAGAGATGGCATTATCATACCCATCTTTGTCCTACGTGGCAGCTCTTCAATTGGCTGTGGTGGATAAGCTTATCTCCGTCAGAAGGAACCCACCAAGTCAAGAGTGGCAAATTTTTTCTCATAAATTAAAAAAAAAAATATTAAATAGACTTAAAATTTTAATTTAATGATGTGATTATTGTATTTATTATTGAATTAATTATAAGTTCTAATAATATTTAAGTCCAAATCCAACAAAAAATGGAACAGGTTGAGCCAAGCCATCGCCCTACTGCATTAGGGTGCACCCTAACCTCCATAAACTGCAAGACTCATTATCACAAGGTTTAATGATTCTAATACTAATTATGATGATACGGTGGTACAATTGGTCGTAATATTGTTCATATTTGCTTGTGGAATTGTCCTGAGACCTTTTGAAACCGAAAAAATAAAAATCAACATATTTTCGGTTGGAATAATTCTTCGTGTTACAATAAACACAATGTTCCTATTCAAGTAGAGGAAACTTAAAAATCCATCATTATAGTTGCATTTAGCGTAATTTCTCAAAATTAAAGGTTCATTTCATGGATGGACTTGATGAAACAGAACTTTACCTAATGGACTTCCAAAAACATAGAAGATGTTTGCTGAACATGCAACCTGAAAGTGCATGTGAACAAAAAAAAGTGTATATATTCATCTAGAGAATCAAAAATATAAGATAATACGCTTTTTTTTTTATAATAATACTCTCGGACGAATATGTAGAGTAATATATCTACTTATCCATTTTCTATACTACCAAAAAGTGAATTTGCTAGGATTTTCTAAATGGACTTTTCAGTTCAAGAAGTCCATCCACCAGCGGCGCCAAACACCCCCCATATCAGCATCTCTTACTCACTCTCCTGAATTTAAGACAAGGAATGTTCAAACACTGTCACTATGATTCACTATGCCACATTATCATGCAATTCTCACAAAACCATCTCTAATATGGAAACAAACTAGAATCATTACATATAATATTGACAATTGCCTTGTATGAATCTCTGCAGGTAACATATAAGCTTTTCAAGGGATAAAACTCTCGAGAATTGACTCGTTAAGTTACAGAGCAGGCGCGTGTGGGGTGGGGGAGTGGTAGGGGGGTTTGTTGAGGAAATAGAAGGGAAGGAATGAAGGAGGAGGAGGTCTACCAATGCATATAACAGTATCAGGAATTGGGGCACATAATGGGAGCAATGATGCAAATTTTAGACACAATACAGCTTAGGGGAACTAGTAAAAAATGAAAAATAAATTTTGGACTCTGGCAGGATGGTTCATCACCGCGTAACAGTTGTATTTGTCGGGGGTGCAGAACCAACGTAAGTGACATGAACTTCTTGAGGGAGAAGATGATATTTAATACCAAGCTCTTCGAAAATTTTCTTCAGCTCCAAGACTAGATCAGATTTGCGATTGCTCTTTTCTCCATAGTTCTGAAAGTTTGTGGTGTGGGTGACATAGAGCCCCATTTTCATCTTGTTCACATCCTCTATTTCTGTAACCTGCACACTATGGCCAGAACGCCAATGCTGAGGTTTGCTCTCCAAGTACCTGAAATTACAAACATATAATTGGATATTAAAGGGAAACTGTCAAGCGAAGACGTTACTAACAAAGGGAAAATGTGGTACGATTGAGAATTCATGTGGGAGAGAAAACACTTCAATCCTAATGTGAAAAAAGGAGTAAGTGTAAACATAGAAGGAAACAGAACAATTAAAGCAAAGGAAGGTATACTGCTTAGTTTGTCAGATTGCAAAAATTTTTGTTGAGGATTGAAAGAGGAGATTGAGAAGACCTTAACAGAGTAAATATGAGGTGTTTGGGAACAAGTGTGTAGAATGACTGGAAGACTGGTAATTGCAATCAGATGGAATGTTCAGTGAACAATGAAAGATTTCCCATTGTTAAACTATAATTGACGCTCTTCAAACTATAAGTATCCAAGACATCAACCTTCATGCTTCATTTCCTACACAAGCAGATATAATCTTGCTTAGAGCGTTTAGATCAACATTCAAAGAAAAGTGACTTTTCATTATCAGACCCTAAAAAACCATAAGAGATATACAACTTGACAAAATTAAGCAAGGGAAAATTTACTTGATATCTCAGTACACTAAATCTAGGAAAGACACTATGCATGACATTTAGTTTCAGATATAAGACACGAGAACGAATAGAGTTACATACGCTTTTATTTTAGCTTTTAGAGCTACAATGCTCTCAATGGAAGTGGAAACATCAACAGCAAACTCCACAGAATCACTCATCTCTGGACTTCGGTTGAAATTGCTGATCGGTCTAGTAGCCAAAACTGCATTTGGATAGTATATTTTTTCATTGTCATATCTCAGAAAGATTGTTGTCAAAATGTTCACCTCATCAACGACCATCTGTAAAGATCCAAAACTATAAGATAAATGAATTATAGTATCCCTAACCATGAAGACTAATGTATTCTAGCCCCAACAAAGTACCTGTACTCCGTCAATGACGCATCGATCCCCTACATCAAACGGGTGCATCACAAATACAAATACAATGGCCTCAAATACTGTCTTAAGGGTGTTGCCAAACATAAATACCCACAGTAAAAGCTGAGATGAAATGAAAATCAACACATTGGTTGTTGCAATTCCCATCAAAAGTAACCAAACAAAGATGATCAAAATAAATACGATCCCTGAAGCAATCTTGTTCAAATCTTCTATGGCTGTTTTGGCGTCATTCAAAGAATGTGCCAGATATTTGCGTTCATTGTAGGCCTTCACCTGCAAATCAGGAGTAATTCATTAAAGTCAGATAAGAGCATTTTCCCTACCTAACACAGGGTTCAGTCGGTTGATGAAGTGGAAGCAAAATATTGTGGACTGTTGAACTGGTTTAAACTGCTCTCATAATATCCCTAAGAACCGATGATACAACTGATTCCCAGATTCAAATCATTTCAACCATAAAACCACATGTTGAATCGAAATATGCAAATTAAAAGTAGCCTGTCCAAGTACAACAATTTATTTTCTATGGCAATCTTTTCATGTCATACATAGTGAACACTAAGTTCATAATTATGATCAAAGGGAACTACAGAAGACTAGCCAATAAAGCTGTCCTAAGGAGGAATATCTCATGATGAAACAAGCTTAGCTGGCCAGGCTAACCATAAACAGATTACAACAAAGGAGATAGGCAAACACAAGAAGAAGAATATCCACTGGTCCCAATTTTGACGTACTGCAATGCTTTCACAATAAAAATTCTCTTTCAGTGATCTCAGAAAAAGAGAGGCTGCGCACATATATAGAAACAAAAGAAATATGTTCAGGAAACCTGTTTACAAAGACAAACAAATATCTTACCACCCAATTCCTTAAAGATGATTTCTTGATCTGTCCTGTTTCAACAGATCCCTCAAGCAATGGAAGCACATTATCCACCTCCTCGGACGTCATGAAACGCAAAAGGTCATCCTCATCAATAAACCTACTCCATGAAACAACATCAAAAAATGTAACAATTTCAGAACAAACTAAAAGAACCAAAAGCATTGGAACTCTTAATTAGAAGGCCTGTATTCTTACTTGTTGCCACGCTTTGCTACATTTCTGAATATGAAACGAGCAGCAGCCTTTGCTTCCAACTCACTAGTAATCTCTTTTTCCTCAACGCCCTCATCATCCACAATTTCTTCCAATGCCTCAGAAATCGTAAACAACCCTGAAGACCCTATTACTTTTATTAACCCTCCCATGGTCCAAGCAGACACCTTTTCTGGCTTCATCTTGTGAAGCTTATCCACATCAATCACCTCTTCCTTCTCCTGTTTTCCTCCCATAGGATTTTTAAAGCTCAACTGACCACTTTTCCAGGAACTACTCTTTTCTGCATCTTCCATCAATGGAGGCCCCGAAAGGGTCCGAAGAACATATTGATGAAATATGGATTCTTGAATCCTGTCAAAGAATGTTTTGACATGAAAAGAAGAAGCCAAGAGCTTCACCAGTAAAGTCTTCACCATCCACATAGCAGCCCCAATAAGACTAGATGCAAGAGCTCTTGTAATATAATTTAAGACCTTGGTAGTTTCTTTTGATCTCCTGACCCCTCGGTTGATTAACAGACCCCATGCCAGAAGAACCAATCCCAACCAAATGAAAACCCGAACACTCCATTTCAAACCATAAACAAAATAGAGGACCTTCTTCTTGAGCAAAAAGTTCTTTTCAATCAAGAAAACTAGAAGATTAATAAACCACTCAGTAAACAACCGACCACAAAAGATGACCACTACCAATACACACCATTTCCAAATTTCTAAGCTCCAAAGCCTAAGATTCCTCAATCGGGGTATAGTCAAGCTAGTAATCAGAAAAACCTTCATGCATATCAACACAATCCACTCAAATAATATCATCATTTTCACTTTCTTACCCCTTTTTCCTTCATATTGTTTAATATTTGCAGTCTTGTACACCTGGTCATCATCATCCTCAGCCTCATCCTCATCATCTTCTCCTCCGGGCGACACCATCAATGGAGTTCTTGGGGTGACTGGAGCTGTCGTTTTGGGTGTAACTGGGCCTGTTTTTGCATATTCTTTAGGAGTACTAGCAGTGCTTCTGTTGGCGGGTGAAGCCATTTTAGGCGATTTCCTGTAAGATGAAGTAACAGGCACCATTTGGGTACCCTCTTCAACCACCTTCGAACCACTAGGATATGGTGGCTCAACTAATCTTGATTTAGGCTTGAAATACGCAGGACGTGGCTTTGATCTTCGTTGAACCGCTGTTGTTCCATATGCGACTTTCGGAGTGTTATTCAGGGTTATCTCTGGTGGAGGAATTTGTAGATTTTGCAGCTCTGTTGATCCACCATTTGGGGATTGTCCTCGGAGATTTTCCGAAAAAGAGTACAAACCTGATTCGAAGGGTGCAAAACCTTTAGAATATTCACTTTGCTTGTTCATGTCTGAAGCTTCTTCAGTATCAGAAATGACTATCACTAGTTCCTTGGTTCTTAACTTTTCTTCCTCGCCTCTTCCTGTTTCCAGGAGAGCCATTCAAAAAATCTTAACACCCAATTCAACCCAAGTTCTGTGATCACTTCTGACACTCAAAACTCACCCACAATTGAACAGCATGAGGTTGAATCTTCATCCGGAAACAGAGATTACAAATGCTCCGTTTGGTTTACAATTGTGAGCAAATTAATAGAATCTCAATACAGCAACTCCAAACTCACATTTTCTTTCTCGAAAACCAAACAGAGGATAAAGCCAACGGCAGAGCACGAACGCAAAGAACAGATATTTTAGGCTTTGCACATAACAGACGGCATTTTTATGGATACATCGTGTGTGTGTGTGTGAGAGAGAGAAAGAGAGTTTTAGATAGATAAGGGGTTGCAGCCTCTAAATTATGGGTAAGCGACGACGACCCGGAGAGGTACATTGGAGAAAGTTTTTGTGGGCTGAGACAAAAGAGTTCGCTCTTGCTATCTCTTCAGCGGTTCTGCAAATTGCTATGTATAACAACTTTTCAAGAAAGAAAATGACACGTTTATCAAATTTTTCATGCAATCTCCGTTTAATAAGACTTATCTATTTGGTGATGAATAATTGAATCCCGTCAATTTGAAATAAAAATTTTGCGTAACATTATTCTTTCAAGAAGGAAGTGAAATGTGCATTTGGTGAGATGAAGCGAACCGTATTTGACGTATTTTTTTTTTTGGTCAGAATATTTGACTAATCAATCAGCCACGTTATCGTGGAATTTATTTATTAAATTACCTTACTTTTTAAAAACGGATTCAATTGTTTTTGTTAAAAATCAGATTCAACGACTCTTTTTTTTTTATGTTAAAAAACAGATTCAACGCCCCGTTTTTATGGGAAAAAAACAATTGCCCGGGGAGGGGGGGGGGGGGGGTGGTAGGGTTCAACAACCCCGTTAAACACGCTTTTCACACTGAAGGGTGCTCGAGTTCCTCTTTTTATTTCTCTCTCCGCAAGTGTCTCCCTCGCCGACTTGTCTGCCCACAGAAAAAAGGCTGCGAGAAGCCCAACACAAGCAAAGCTAAATTAGACACACACACTCGCACAAAAGAACCCTTTTTCGAAGTCCCACAAATCAATCGGACTACTCAAATCAAGAAAAGCCTAGAGAGATCGAAACATACCCACTTCGTTATGGGGTATCAATCTAGGCAGGTTTGTGGTTCTGCTATGGATTGTGTCAGTCACAATTGAGGTTGTTTTCTCACAAGGTGGAGTAAGAGGAACAAACAACAACCAGGACCAACATCAACCAAGCAACAACACCAACACCACCAAAGAACAAATTAACCAACAACGCCACAACCCATTACAAGATCTTTATTTATCGGCCGGAGGACTAGTTTATTGGCTCTGGAAGTGCAGAAGGTTTATCCGAAAAACACCAACAAGTGCAGAAGGTTTTTCTACGCCAGTCTTTTTAAAAGCGTGGTTAATAACCACGCTTTTAACTTGTTTCAGCTCAATTTTATTAAACCACATTTTTTATTTAAAAATAAAATTATTGATCCCGTCGCTTTTTAATAAAAGCAGAATTATTGACCTCACTTTTATAAAGTGTTGCAGTTTAATAAATAAATTTAAAAGTATCATATTTTGGTATTAAAATCCTAAAACAACTGTGTTTTGATAATAGATTCTATTATTGTGTGTATGAGAGAGAGATTTTTTTTTTTTTCGGTTAGGGAGGGAGAGGGAGTTATCTATAGACTATACGTTAGTATTCCGTCACGTGCGAAAATATAATTAGTTTTTTTTTTAATTATTTAATTTATCTTCTTTTTTTTATTGTTTAAGAAATTAGATAAAATAATTAAATAATAAAAAATAAAATTTTCAAATAAATTTTAAAAAATAAGGATCAATAATTAAAAAAATTAATAAATAGTTATAAATGATACGTAATAGCATTTCATTGGAGGGAGCTAGACTTCTCTTTCTAATTTATTTGTTTTATATATATAAATAGACATGAATGGCAGCGGTAAGCTTGATTGAGCTGGACTGGATCAGAGTTTTGTGGGCCAACCACCAAGAAGAGGAGGTAGGAGGTAAGTCGTCAGATTGATAGTTCCTCTAATAATTTTGTTCGGCAATGTTATTTATAATAAATTTATTTATTTAATTATTTATAATCATTAAATTAATAATTATCATTAATATTTTTTGAGACTCGTAACTAATTTAATAATTATAATAATTTATATTTATTTATTTATTGATACTCGTAACTAACTTAATTGCTGTGATAGATTAGTATTACGTGGTGGTTGGTTCAACCATCTCAATTAGTCAAGCCATCAAGTTGTAGAGTGTGGTCCTCGTTTTCTGATTCCTTATGTAATCCGATGGCCGGCCGCCATGCTTTTGTACCATAGTCACTTTGTCCAATCTTAAACAATTGCGACCGTTTGGATAAAATAAGGATGGACAAAACTATCACCATTTTACTTTCTTTTTTTGTTTGGGTTTTATTTTTAGCACAGCATCGTCGGTGCTTTCCTTTTTGCTGTGGTCGAATTGTTGTAAGTTGTGATAATTGATTGTGCGTTGAAATCGTGATTTATCAAAAAATTAAGAGAACACGTTCACCTAGGATAAGTAGTAGAGTATAAGCGTACAACTATGTTGGTGCAGAAAAAAAAAATTACGTTGTTTTATGACATTTTTATCAAATAAAAAGTTAATTTTTACTAATTTTTCAGTTTGATCCTCAAATTTTTCTTTTCAAATTTGATAATTATGGCTGATAATATATTTGTCCACTAATTACAAATTCTTAGATTTGTCCATGACTTAAAATTAGATACCTCGTAATCAATTCTAAGATATTTTGAGCGTCTTTTTCAACTAAATATGAAATGACTGTAATGATTGATAATGGGTTGAGTCTTTTTCAATTTTAAAATAATTGAAGAACCATTGAATTCTATTTTAAAATACGAAAATTTGTTCATGTTGACAGTTTATTATTTTTATTTTTCAATTTTAGAAATTTTTGAAAGGAAATAAAACTTGCTGAAGTGAAAAAATTTTCAATCATTCAAAAGAAATTGGAGAAGAGTCGAACAATAAACAATTTATGAAAAATTAATGAGCCATCAATGAATTCAAATCAATGCTGCTCGGATTTTCTGAATGGTCAATATTAGAGCTTTCTTTAAATAATATGCATGTATTAAGAAGTCTCTTTGTCAAAGTCGGTTGATTTGACTAAAATTAATTAATTAATTAATTGAATATTATCATTTATGGGAGCAAAGACAAATTAAAGAAAATGCATAGGACAAAAGCCAAGAATTTAAATTAAATTCAAGCCCTTTCCCTTTAATTATTAATATCTCTTGTCATGAACTTTCCTTTTGTGATCAACATTCAATCTTTTCTAATCAAGTTTTTTTTGGGAAGGTTTTTCTGATCAAGTTGGGATAAAAGAAATTTCATACAAATCCAACCACTTGTCAAGGCAAAAGGGGACAGATGCTCTGGCTTTCTTGGTAGTACAACTGATTCCCCTTTCGGCCCGTTTGGCATGTGAGATTGGGTGGAATTTAAAAAGTCAGCTTTGCGAAAATAATACAATTTATTTTTAAAATTTATGATTAGGTCAAGACTTAAGGTTTGAGATTTGCAGATTAAATGAATCTCGGCCTACTCTTAGAGCCCGTAATGAATAGTGAGTTAAAAATAGTGTTATTAAAATTAAATTGGATATCAAACTGGTAGAGCGATCAAAACTCTATTGCTCTCCCTCCAACAATGAGTGACTCTAAAAGATTATAAGGCTTTTGGATTTTCAATGAAGCTTAGCGCATATTTTGCGCTTTCCAATGGGACTTGTATTGGAGAGTTATTCATCTTGACTACATATAATGAGTCAGACTCTATCCAAAGGTGTTGAATGCCCTTTCGAGAAGCCATATCCGCCGTATGTATGACAGACTGTGGAGAATTGGATATGAACGTTGGAGTCAAAATGAGAAAATGGTCGAGATATTCCTCTGTGGGGTTGGTATGGATAGTGAGGGGGATGCTACCTTCTTAGAGGTGATTTTTTGAACAATTCTTAGAGGTGATTACTATCAAGCTTATATGATACCATACGAAAAAAGCCACAACCACAACTACACTGGCAAATAATGTCAAGTCGATCTTCCTATCTTAAAGAAAGAGAATCTGCTCAATAATCAAATCATGGCATAGAAGAAATAGATTTCTCAAATCATGTATTTTAGGATTGGGATAAAAGATAGAGATCATGTTCAACGCACTTTGTTTGTCATGCCTCATTATCTGATAGTTCGTTCATCTTGTCCTTTAGAACATCATCTCACTCTAACAGTTGAGTTTGCTGGTCAGACCGAATTTATAATAAAAAATTATAAAAGTAACAATTTAACTAAAAAAATATGAAATATGTACATACTACATACTATTTGCCATAAAATTAATGAAGTAGAGAAAAAAAATACCAAAATCAAATCTCAATAATTTTAAGTCTTTATCAAAGAAAGACTGGCACATTGACACAAAGATTAAGTGTGTAAAAAATATAGAGACTAGAAGCAACCAAAAAAGAAGAAAAAGATGAAGCTGAAACTGAATTTTATTACTCAATGAAGAATTGAAGCAAAACTAGGATTACAAAGATTATAAATACTAAAATTTTTCCTAAAAGATCTCAACTAATACCAATGTGTTTATGAGATTATTTGCTTAAATAAAAGGAAGACAATCAGTATTCCTAAATAAATGGAATACTTAAAACAAACTAGACTTATTTGACAAAGACTAATTCAGTTATGCAACAAAGACTAATTCGACAACTTCTAACTTCCAATATATGACAACTGTAAGTTTCACAAATTTGCAACACTCCCCCTCAATGCAAACTTATTGTCGACAATACCAAGAGCACCTCAAAATACTTCAAACTTTGCTTTGCCAAGCGCTTTGGTAAATATATCAGCAACTTGATCATTAGTTTGAATTTTCTGCATCTGAATATCCTGAGTCAATATCTTCTCTCGAACAAAATCATAATATGTTTCAATGTGTTTTGTGCAAGCATGGAACACTGGATTTCCAGCAAGCTTAATTGCACTTTCACTGTCACAGTGAATAAGGATTAGGTAGTCCAAGGCAGAAAGCATTTTTTAAATAAGTCTCTTAAGCCAGATACACTCTTGAGTGGCCATAGTAGCTGCAGCATACTCGGCTTCACAACTAAAAAGAGCAACGATAGTTTTGCTTCTTGCTACACCACGAAATTGCTGTTGATCCCATATTAAAACAATACCCTATTGTGGAGCGCCTATCATTTAAGTCGTCAGCCCAATCTGCATCTACAAAACTAGTCAACAAGAATGGT